TTTGGTTGAGGGCTGCACCCGCGGGTCGGGGTTCTGGTCCTCAGTGTCATCGTCGCATTTGTCGCTGCCGTGTTCGGAGCCCAACTCACCCACACGACAGCTGACCTTCTCCACGTCGGACTCTGCCGAACAGGAGTGGTCCGTCAAGGTGTCGACGTGCAAACTGATTCCTAAGGGAAATGAATAAATGCATTAAATAATAATAATAATAATAATAATAATAATAATAATAATAATAATAATAATAATAAATACGCGAAGACAACAAAAACAGAACAAAGCAGGTCCAATATCTATGTATGATCTACTTAAAATTAAAATGTTAAAATTTTAAATAAATTTTAAAATAAATATTTATAAATTTTAAATAAAATAAATTTCTAAATTGTTCAAATTAAGCTTGGAAGTAAGGCAGCAATTTATTTTGACGGTGAAAATGCCAAGTTAATATTTATTATCACTATAGCGTTTAATGTTTTTTTTTAAAACTCATAACTCAATTCATGTCATAAAGAAAAATACATCCCGAGCTGTTGACATTTTAATGAGTGCCCTCGTTCTGACTGCAGTGTCTTGTATGTTACTTTTTTTTCTGGTGACCTGTCATTAATCATGTTAGAGAAAATAAAAATCTTTGCCCTGTGTGTGTGTGTGTGTGTGTGTGTGCTAACATGTCCATTAAAACAATCAATTCAACGTGTTATTCTCTGTATTTTTCTTTATATCTCCATTTACATTTTGTATCCGTGAATTAAGGAGTAAGGAATAAGGAGTAAATAAAACGAGCCCCCCTCCGCCCCCCCGGCCCCCCTTCCCCTTTGACCCCCATCCTTTGCTGTGAATTGTTAAACGGATCATTGGCTCGGTGGGCAGATTATAGCCCACCTTCATCCTCCGCTGACGCCTCGCTGTTGTCCAGGTTTTTCTCTGAGCGCTCCACCTCCTTCCTCTCTCCGTCCCCGTCCTCCTCGTCTTCGTCTTCACTCTTATTCCTGGGGGCCCATGTCATCTTGTTCTCCTTCTTGAGCCTCCGCCTCGCGTTGGCGAACCACGTCGAGACCTGGGTCAGGGTCATCTTGGTGATGATGGCGAGCATGATCTTTTCCCCTTTGGTCGGGTACGGGTTCTTCCTGTGTTCCTGCAGCCAGGCCTTCAGGGTGGCCGTGGCGTCCCTAGTGGCGTTTTTGCGGTAAGCCGGGTCGTTGAGTTGGTAGGGGTACCCTGGACTTCCGTACGGGTGGTAACTAATTGCCCCGGCCATGCCCGTGGTGTGTGCGTCATATGGAGAGCTCTGAATTAAAGATGTAACAATGAAAAATGAAAACCCTCAAGTGGTGTGTGTTTGAAACTGTACATTCACTTCCGTCAATAATGTTAACATAACTGGGTGATCCAGTCGAAATGTAAATAAAATACAGTTCAGTTAAATGCATGAATATATTACGTATTTAAATATTATATCACAACTTGGAAAACACACACGTTTTGTGGAACTTGGCAAACGCGTTGAAAAATAAAAATATCACATTATTATATTATGAAAATGTTATTATAATTCTGAGCCTCGTAAAACAAAGACACGCATTTCGTAATTTGCCAAGTGTCTTTTACCGGGAGTAAAATCAACACATTTAAAGGCTGTTAAAGCACCGCTTATAAAAGAAGGCCGCGGAAGACACGCACTAATGATTAACTAATCGTTACGATCGTTATCGGATTAACTAATAACAGAGCTCTCGGTAAAGATAATAAAAATGGAATATCAATTTCCTTTAATCACCCATTAACAGCCCGTTTTCTCGCCGTACTGCAGCTTTTTTGTTGTGCAGTGACAGCCACAGTGTGTTAACACATCTTCTCTGTGCACCATTACAAATCCCATTAGCAATTCACTTGATATGCACCTTTTCCTAAAACGCTTCAAGTGGCCCCTGTCATCGTGCTTTTCATGTTTAAATCCTATTTATTCGACTAAATCGGCAACTCAGACCACTGCTGATTTAAATTATTGATTTAATAAAACCCCCAGAAAATGGGTTTCTTTAATTTTCTGTGGCTAAAATCTAAGATAATGTTCATTTATTATTGTATGTGTTAAACGATGGCCAGTTTGCAGCGCTCGCACACACCATTTACGACAAAGCAGTGGGTGGTGAATAAGGTGAAAATTACTATCTAGATTATAGCACTTGATGTGAAACGTGAAGCACTCGGTGGAAAAGTTCCGCGTACACTTTCTGGGAATTCACTCACTGTCATTACGCACGGACTGTGCCACATTTTGCGCCTGACAGTCGAAGATAGTTAGCGCATTTATAGACGTAAACAAAACTACACACTTCGTCCTAAATCGGGAAAAAAAAAAAACACCAGAAGAACAATGAACGCCACGTAAAGGCAGAATAATTTACCATGTAAGATGGGAATCCCGTGGTTGGATCCGTGGAGTATGACAGTGGGCTGGGGAAATTCACTCACTGTCATTACGCACGGACTGTGCCAAATTTTGCGCCTGACAGTCGAAGATAGTTAGCGCATTTATAGACGTAAACAAAACTACACACTTCGTCCTAAATCGGGGAAAAAAAAAAACACCAGAAGAACAATGAACGCCACGTAAAGGCAGAATAATTTACCATGTAAGATGGGAATCCCGTGGTTGGATCCGTGGAGTATGACAGTGGGCTGGAGAAGCCTGCACCGGCCGAGGCGGAGAAAGCAGCCGATCCAGGGTAAGGGCTGAAGGCTGAGCCAGAGGACGATCTCGCCAAGTCTTCATTCCGCGGGGCTGCCAGAGCCGAGGCCCCGTAAGCCGGACACGAATAAAGAGCAAGAGAGCCTGGCGGCTGATAGAGGTAACCCTGAGGATAAGACATCGGTGTGCGCGGTAGGCTTTAAGCCGCCGATTCCACAAAGAGCAGGGGGGAAACGCGCAAGGCGGTGAGTCAGAAGAACAGCCAAAAATAATAAACAATCAACTCAATAATCAGCCGTGCAAACAGTCATCAAACAATGAACATGAAAAGTCCTCCCTCCGCAGCCCCCTTACTGGGAAAAAAACCCCCCAAAGATCTGTTAAGGTGCCCACATAGAGGCAATGTGGCATGCGTCTTGATCCCCTAGCGTCCGATGTTTTTAGTACGCAACACTATGAAGTGAGGAGTTAGGAGGGAAGGAGCCAGTGGAGTTTCAGACACACACAGAGCATTGGGGGAAACTGGAGCTGTCACTCCGGCTCATCTGAATATCTCATCCCCGCCCCCTTTCTGCCACTAGAAATGGAGCCTCGGAACAAAACCAAGACTCCGCTGCAAAAAGTGATCCGTCCGCCGCCACGTTCGGATCACTGTCGAGGAAATAAAAACTTTATATTAATGTCATTTTCGCAAAGGCAAACAAAGTATGACCTATACGTGGTTGCCTGCCACGTTCGGAATGCTTGATTGTATTCAGCATCATTTGGGAATAAAAACGCAGAAAGTACATTACTGTGACCATCGAGGACGATTATTGAAGGCAATAAAATAAAATAAAACACACTAACGTAATTTCCTCGACTTTATGCGCTCTTTTGTCCATTTTGGGTATTTCATTAAATAAATAATTCATTTTAGGACATAACCTCGGTCTGAAAAAAAAAAAGAAGCTCAATATTTACAGATGATTATTTTTCTAAATCGTGCCATTAAAACGGACTTTTCCACGAAAAGACGCGCTGCTGAGTGTGTGTGCTCCCCTGGCAGTGCGCGCTTTGACCTGCGGGAGGCGTACACACTCACATCCCTAATTTCCACCACTTAGCACTTCTCCAACACGCTCGTCTCTTATTATTACAATTACATCAGCGACAATAATAAAGATGTTTGCGGCGGTGGGCGATTGGAGGCTTTATTAGGGGCGGTCTCTGTTCACTCCACGCACATTAATAAGTCAGCGACACTGCTGAAGTGTGGCGTGGCTACGGAATTTGACAGTCAGTCTTTTTTCTTCTTTTTCTTTTTTTTTTTCTTTTAAGCTCTGGCTCTTTTGCCAAGTGCGTTTGTGCGCTCACCTGTCTGGGACGGCGCTTTTCGGACGCGTCTGCGCGCAGATCGGGGGCAAATCCTTGTCCTTTATTATTGTGATTAAAGACATTATGACCTCTGTTGGAGACAAGCGGTGCAGCACAGCATGGTGGAAACCTGACACGGTGACAGCGGCTGTGGAACGGGCAGTCAAGGTGGCAACTGTTGTGAAGAAGAGTGGCCTAGGCTGCGTTCCTCATCAGTATTCACCCGGATGAATGTATTCATCCATCAGGTGCTTGTTCCTCCGCTGCACTGCGGTCTGACAGTGTCGTAAACAGCAATGGCACCGTTTGTGCATAAGTGCACCACACACAGCCAGCCTCGTAGATAGAATGACTAATTTATATAGAACACGCGCGAGTTCTACAAAAGACTCGGGATAACTCGTCACTTATTCCGTTTTGTCAAACACGTGTGCCACAGAGCAGTGGTGACGCTGCCTCTTATTTAAAAAAAATCACTGTAAGTGTTATGACTCCACAGAGCAGTGGTGATTAAAAAAAAATCACTGTAAGTGTTATGACTTATCGTGTATATAATTATTATGTAAATACGTAGTATCAGGAAAAACACAGAATAAAAAACTCGCAATTCACTAATACACATAGGAATACTAACTTTACTAAAATGTGCTATTCATTAAAAAATATTGAAATACTGTTTCTGCGTCATACAGTGTATGATTACAGTACAGTTTGGGTTAGTGAATTTTTTTAACACCGCTTAAATAGTAATAGTTAAATTAATATTATTAATTATTTTATTTTATAGTTATAAAAAGAGGATTATTTATATTTTAAATAAAATCATTGCCAGTAACCAAATGTAACTGTTATACAGAAAAAGCAGAACTAATTTTAAATTTAGTGAATACGGACCACATATACTAAGTACAATGTCAATTTTCTGCCATCCCTAAATTTTAAGTTTATACGTTTATTTTTTTCTTTGAAATCTCTTGTCAGGCCTTTTGTAATTATTCCAGACTAAATCTTATTGTCTGACCGCTGTGGTTTTCACTATTAAAATGTTTTATTGGCTATTTTTCTTTTTTTTAATAATTTGTAATTTAGATTTTTCCACTCCCCCTGTTTCAGGCAGGACCAATCAATCCACAAAAAGACTAAATTAGTGGCTCTAATGTGAGTAGATTTGGTCAAGATACGTCTCAACGGGAGTTCTGTTTGACCCACAGCAGGGGGCACTGTCTCCTCTACACACAGACCATGGACTGAACATCTGAACGTCACAAGCACAACGTTTAACCGTGTGTGTGTGTTGTGTGTGTGTGTTGCGGGTGTGTGTGTGTGTGTGTGGCATATTTAATGGTTGACTATGTGCTTGCATGTAATTGTTGTCTGCATTGTCAGTGTTAAAGTGCACCTGTCGGGCCTGCAGAAGTGTGTGTATGTGTGTCAGGTGTTAGTAAGTGACCATATGTGTGTGCGTGTATGTGTGTATGTGTGTGTGTGTTACACAGTAGTACATTCCAGGTCTCAGTTTCAAAAAGGCCGGAGCACTTAAGATATTTTAGTCCAGGGCGGATGGAGCAGTAGGAGATGAGGAAGAAGTGATGGCCAGACAGACAGACAGACAGACAGACAGACAGACAGACCGATGGACAGACAGACAGACAGACAGACAGGCCGATGGACAGACAGAGCAGAGTCAGTAATGCAGGCAGAAATGATGAAAGAGCTGAGATTCAGAGAAAACAAGGAAGAAGTTGTATATATATATATATACATATATATATATATATACTCAAACAGGCCAGACACTCACCATTATTTAACATTAAATTATATTATTGGATTAATAATCAAAATGCTTTAAGCCTCATGGATGAAAAACTTTTAAGATCAAATGCATCTTGGAAAATATTATAAATAAAATCATACAAAATAATTTGGCTGTATATTCAATTTAAAATATTTTCAATTATTTTGTTGACCCAACCAAACATATGTTATTCACTTCTCGGTAACAGGCTAGAATATTTATATCAGGTAGTGATTATAGAGTCAGTGTGTTGTCTGCCAGGGTGTTTTTGGCGGGCACTATAGGGTGCAGTGGGGGAAGAAAATGGTGTAAATGCTTTTTTTGTGTCAATCACACTGTACTTTGCTGTAGGTGCGCTGTATGGTGAACCGTGTGTGAGAGGGACGGAGCAGTGGTGTGCTGCAATCGAGTTGCTCTGAAATCAATATGGATTGGGAAACAGCAGCAGCGTGATTAAAGCCTAAGCCTATTGTTTACAGTATCCACTGACTCCACCTTGCTGTGACTTATTAGAGAGTTACATTGGGTTTGAGACCCTGATAAGCAATTGTTGTCTTTGGGCCTGTCTCCTCGTCGCCTCAGGCTGATCCTAGTGGTTTTATATTGAGCGAGGTGTTGTACTCTGCTCCGCCGGACAAAATCCCCAGTTTTGTATCAGTTTAAGAGGAGCATATTATGGTCTAACCACATGACAATTTACGCCCCCCCTCCCCCTTCCAAAGAGCTCCAAATTTTTTTTCATCCACTGTGGGTTGTTGAAAGACTGTTCAATATCCCAAACTTCTAGAGAGTAAAGAGTGTGCAGGTCTGTGCGCTCATCTTTATGCGTGGGTTTTGCAGAGGAAAAAGAAATTTGAGAAAAAACAATATCGAGATCTTTCATTTTGCAGCTCAGGTAACTAGTCCTATTGTCAGTCTGAAATGAATCACAAAAGAAAAACTCAAATCTGCACAGATCTGTCAAAATGAATGTCAAAATGTCGCTCGAAGTCTTGATATTCCTGGTCAACAAAATTGTCAAATTTGTTGCATTTTGATAAGAAAACGCAAAACTACAATTCACCTGCTCACCTCCGCTTGGGATCGTTGTGAAAATGTCTTTGGTCTTTTTTGTACAACAAG